GGAAAACAAGTTTAAAGTCGAGTAACAAACGGCTATTGCCCGTTTTTAACTCTATTTATTCGTTCGTTCCTACCAACTTAGAAACGAAGTACGAGAAACTGCTGTCAGGAGTGCAGGCTCAGCTAATGAGGTATAAACGCTCGGGTTTACTGAACTAACACGCTGTTTCGTAATGAAAGTTATAATGGCTCTCACGTACATCATCAATAATACTTTCATTCCGAGTTACGGATTAATAAAGCGCAAGGCATGGGAACCAAATGACAAGCACATTCCTAACCTATCTAATAAATGGTTTACACTTCTTCTGAACCTCGAGGATTCTGGTTCATAGTCTAGGTATTTCTTACTATTTTACTTGATTTGCTATAAATTCTTCATTCACCATTATATAACTAAAAATAAACGTATACCGATATCTGACAACTAAAATAGCCTATGTTCTTACTTTAAACCTGAACTTCTTGAAATGATACAGAGTGATTCAAAAGCCTGAGTACAGCTGTAAGTAGTGGGACGTCTGTGACACACTGACACACACAAAAATCACCTGAGCCAATCAAGAGACCGCGTATGTATACAGGGTTATTCATAATTCCGTGATACATTACAAAAAATCGCTAGTCTTCAATTACGCTATGGATGGTAACATAGGACATGCCGATAGAAAGAGAAACTCTCCAAGTTTATTTTACATACTTCATAATTGCTCAATAACCATGCACTGCTTCGTTGGCCACCCCGATTTCCTGACCTCACGCCATGTGATTTCTTCTTATGGGAGTACGTTAAGGACCAGGTCTTTGTACCGCTTCTGCCATGGGATGTACGTGGAGTGGACGAAGTGTGTAGCACGCATGTGAGAGATGAAAACTGAAAACATTTTGGTTGGAAAATCTGAAGCGGAGCGATCACATATAGACCTAGGCGTAGATGAGAAGATGCTATTAAAGGGGAGTTCGAATGTGTAGGCTAGATTCATCTGGCTGCGAATACAATTCAATGGTGGGCAATTATGAACAAATTCGTGATATTTCGGGTTGCATAAAAGGAGGAGAAAAATTTGAGTGTTAGCTTCTCAAGAAAGACTCTGCTTCATGTTGTTATTTATCTCGTAAACGACCTTGCAATTATCTGATCCTCCATGTGAGGAATACTGTTATCCGTCTTCATGTGGATTTATTAATGCAGTGTCACAGAAGAAGCTTGTATCCATATCTCACCATAGAGAAGGGGAGAAAGCACTTCTGTGACGGCTCAAGAAGTAATGCAGCTTGAATAAACGTAGCTGTTGCTGCCGATACTTGAATAAATGCCTCTCCATGACCTCTTTGCCATTCATTCGGACAGAACACAAGCCGTGCGCCGCTTCAGACGTTACGGCACAATGCTCTAATTGCCTTGCCCCGTGGGCTGCTGGATACGTAGTTTGCCGGAGTGCCATCGAGAGTGAAAGGAGGAGGTGTGCCCAGGAGGGACAAGCCTGAGAAGTGTATCGCTCGAAATAAAGAGAAAAAACATACAATCGCATGTATCTTTCAGTATATAAGCACGCAGAAAGATCGTGTAGAGCATCAGTTTTATCTCAAACCTAGACGTGAAGTGAGAAATTTGGGGCACCACAACATGAAGCTACTGGTAGGTGGTTACCGGCATGTCTTACTTTACCATTCCGTTCATCTTTGACGAAGAAACGGAGACACGTCAGAGCCATTAAGGTAGCGAAAATGGTCTGACGATTTTAACATTACTACTCTTCATTATGTGAAAATGGATTTTTGGGAAATGAACTCATCTTGGTCAAGATAACAACCGGGATCGGGCTCTTTTGAACACGATATTGATTCTTCAAGTTCCGTAAATAAGGAATTTGTAGGCTAGCTAAACTTACTTTCAGCTTCTCAAGAAAAATTCTGCTCGCTTTTGCCAATAGCCGGGCCTTGTGGGAAAGATAATTAACCTTCGAAATCCATAAAAGTAGAGGCACTTCTTTTGCAACTGAACGACACTTAAGTTCTGTAAGATAATTCTGATCCATGGACTTAGTTCATTCTTATTATTTTACCCGATATGTTTAATTACATTACTGACGATTACCGGATGTGTCACTTTTTAAGAAGCACTTTGTATTAGAATTAGTTTATCTGAAAGATTAAGTGATAACTACTGAATCGCTAAAAAACGTATAGAATGAAAAATTTAAGGAAACAAATTTATTAGCGTAAAAGCCGTCCAGAAACTATCCAGGGGTTTACATAAAACAAAATTAATGCCCGAAAACTTCAAACCATAATTGAGATTAGTTTCTCCAGTGGACCCAACTGATTGTTTTGTATAGTTTTAAATGATGACGGAAGCGTTGTGTGCTTTTAAACCAATGCATGATGGAAATGTTAAAGAATATGCGTCAATTTATTTCCACAGCTTCGTCAAAAGCCTTTAAACTAATCTTAGACTACATCATCTAACATAAATGTTTTCGCAATACTTGAAAAGTTAATCTCACAGAAATTATCGTCTAATGGAATTTCTCTCTGAAAAAACGTTTGTAGCCCATTCATTGCATTCCGAAAATTAACACTCATCATTTCAAAACTATTTTATCTCACACTTATAACCTTATCTCGTGCGCTCATCACTGTTAACAGTCAATACGTTTTACCACTCGTTTTCTGTTGCAGGCTTGCATCTTTGCAATCCTAACATCGCGAGCGCTGGCAGGCGAGCCTGACTTCGTTCCTGCATACGCTGCCTCACCAGTATACCACGCCGAGCCCCCTGCAGTGTACCATTCAGCACCCTCAATTGCTTTAAAATCTGCTCCAATCTTCAAAACATACGAACCAGCTCCTATTTTCAAATCTATCGAATCCGCTCCTATTTTTAAAACGTTCCAGACCACCCCCATCTTGAAATCTTATGCTCCTGCCCCTATTATTAAGCCATACGAACCAACCACAATTCTGAAATCATTTGATCCCGCCCCCCTGCTTAAATATGAACCTGCTCCCGTAGCTATCAAAACAGCACTGAAAACCCCAGTAGCGACTTCGTATGCTACAACTACATCTGTACATATCACGCATCCAGCTACGAAAGTAGTTGCACCTATAGTAAAGTACGCAGCTGCTGCACCTGTCCTGAAGTACGACGCTGCACCTGCAATTCAGTACCACGCTGCACCTATAGTAAAGTACGCAGCTGCTGCACCTGTCCTGAAGTACGACGCTGAACCGATTCTGAAGTACGCAGCGCCTGCACCAGATTTGAGCTTCCACTCTGAACCTGCCCTCAGCCTCAAGACAGTGGCATCACCTCTGCTTTCCTACTCTCATGAAGCCCCCTCATTTGAATATGCACCATCCTACAGCCACGGACTGGAGTCGTACGAGTATCACTAACATCTCCATGTGTCAACCTCGTGAGTATGTACATACCTACACAAAAGCATAGACGTTACAGGGAACTCTTAAGTGTGTATTCTTACTTGAAGGAAAAGTACATAAAAATAAGAATGAAAATTACAGAACATGTTAATAAAATATATGGTAACTGAAAAATATAAGTACTTCCAGATCTTCTGGAAGCTAAACACTTCATTAACAGATCAAAATTACTTTATTATAATTTTCATTGTAGGAAATAGTCATATCTAAATTTCGTTAAATGGTTGTTATTGTTATTATTATTATAATCATTTTATAGGCTCACAACAATCTTCTCCGTATCGTAGCTAAATTCTGGACATTTTTCGCCAATCTGAAATGTTGTGTACTACATTTATATTACACTAAGCTATGGCCACTTCTCCTGCATTACTGTCTTCAGGTTAATTTATCAGTACTCGTACTTAAGCCGACACATATATTTATTTATTTATTTACCGTTCCAATTTCCTGCATAATTTTACTTTTAACACAAAAGTTGGCTTTTCAAATACACAGTCGACTGTGGCGTGTTTCTTTCTGAAGCTTACTTTAGTTTAATCCAGAGTGAAACTTGCTAAATTGTATTACAAACTCTTGTTCTTATTCCGGCTTACATTGAACTTCCTTCTTCAAAAGCATATTCTCTTTCTCACATGCTTCAGTCATGACAGGTGAAACAAGAACACGTGCTTTAACTTTAACTACAGTAGTTCCTAACAGAACACATTCCACCTTAAAACAGGTTTTAAACATAATTAGCTTGGTTTGCTGTTTGAAATCAACGTAATAATATACTGTGTTGATTACTAGGAAATATAATCCCGTTTTCCATATTGCAGTGATGTTGACACATTTTTATTAATTTATTCCAGATCACGCGTCTACAACTACTACATAGAAACACCGATAAATTATTCATTCCCACAAAATTATTATGTAAATTATAACATATCGTGTATTTGTATTACTTTTATATCAATAATAAAAACTTGACCTTTCACACCATAAAATAATAATATTCTACTTTATTTAACCCTCAATCGTTGGCGTATAGTGCCCTAACAATAGCCATATCACACTTTTAATCACGTATTAATCTCAGTCGGAAATTTTTTAACTACAGTTCCACTGTAGTTACATCACGAAGTCGATAATCTCGCATATCGATTGGTTGGGTTGGGTGTGCAATATGAAGCTATGCAGGGCGTTCAGTGCTTGCAGATGTGGCACGGCTCTCTGAAAACGAGGGTGAACGGTCAGCTTAGCAGCGCATTTGTGAGTACCACGTCATTACGTCACAATGCACCTAACCTTTAATGGTACACAAAGCACGCAATTGAAGTATCGCTCCTTTTGTTTGTAATATTTGGCATACGAGAAGCTTCACAGGTTGCAACTTTTATATAATACTATTAGCAATAAGTTTGAGATCGACGGGACATGCAGACCCCGCTTGGGAGATCACAAATACATGCAATATTTTGGTCTGAAAACTAAAATGAAAAGACTACTGGAGAGACCTGTGTGTGTGTGTGTGTGTGTGTGTGTGTGTATGAATAGTGTTAAAATGGGTCTTAAAGGAATAGGATGTGACCTTGTGGACTGGATTAAACCAGCGAATAATAAGGCAAAATTGTGTGCTCTTGTGAACACTTCGAGGTTCTTAAGAGGCGGGTAAATTATGCACCACCTGAGCGACTAACAGATTTTCAAATATGTTATACAAAGTTTGCCACAATAGCCATGACTTCCTCCATAAGGAAAATGGAAATATTTTCCCAATCCGTAAGTTACGTTATATTTACTGGGAAAGATGTCTATAAACGACAAAATCAACTGTAGCAGTTATTCTGCGTCGAATCTGACTTCTATCACAAAACTCCATTCGGGGGAAAGGGACGACAAAACCACAAAACACCTAAATCAGTATAGTTAATGTCTCAGCCACCTCCTGTATACTAGTATGTATAACAGGTGACGTAGTTCAGTATTTTTTAAGCTTCACTGCAAATCTTCGCATTCGCAAAGAGTCGCATTCTTCATCAAACCAATGTATTTCCCCAGTCAACCTGAAAGTACCTTTATATGGTGCCTTTTTGGGTTTTATGTAGGAAGACAAAACCATATTCTTCTCAATGGCCACTAGGCCTAAGGAGTGGAGTCCTGATCATTTGGATGGCGGAATAGTGGGTCCGAATCCAGATCGTAGGTAGAAATCTAGGGACGGGTTAACTCCTGTTCCAAGGAGTTGCGAAGCCTCACAAAAAGAGGGATACAAGGTTCGTTTGGCAGAAATCTGGCTGCAGTCGCTGTGAGGGAAATTATATAAATTCTTTTAAGGTAACTCACACAATTTTACTTGGGTTACTCACAAAAATAAAAAAAAAACATTGTGAGAAACAGAAAAAAGATTCAGTGCAGTAACGATATGGAATAAATTAATTTCTCCTCACACGGAAAAAGTATATTAAAAGTTCAATTTAGCTGTTCCCTGCATTTCACTAGCTATAATTTGAATCTCTGATACTGTGAAGAGGACCATTCATAGCTGGCTAAAATAGTAACCAAATTTTAGTAAATTACCCCCAAAAAAATTATGTACTTAAACCCCTGGTGCAATATTGCATAACCTTCAATCTTCTTCCAATTTTCCAGTTATGAATGACATTTACCTATGGTATATTATTATGCGAGGTATAAACAACAAAATTGGTCAAGCAATCCATACTGACCCAATTTATTTGATAAATTACCAGACTGGCACAATAAGAAATCATTTTCCAGTAACTTGACAAGCAAGAAAAGGAAATAGTATGATTGAAATCCACCACTGGTCCCAACAACGCACTAGGATGGAACATTCACATACGAAGCGTACTTTTTTAACCAAGGATACTTAGCTGAGTCCATCATCACTGCGCAACATCCCGGTAGACAACCATCTTAAATGACGAAGTATATCTCTGCAATTGTTAAAACAGGCAAATGGTCATCTCAATACATTTTCACTTTACAACAAAATTCATCCTCTTTGCTAGTTGAATTACAAAATACTATAGACGACATTTTTCGATGACATCGCCACTTTCCAATTTTATGTAACCGATTTCATGGAATTGGTTTCCTCTGTGAATGACTCACCTTAGTAGCCTCAATAACAATTTCAAAATCTATTAGATTAATTTCTCCACCAATTTATAGGGTCAATAACGTAAAAGTACCTGTCTGTCACTTTGTCATATCAAGACAGATAAAGATCAAGTGCCCCCACACGCTGCATAGCGACTAGAATAATATTTTCCTGTTGCTAGGGACGCTGGCGCACTCACGTTAATAGTATGGAACGTCACTAATACCAGCATAGGTTTTCTACAGTAGCCGTCGGAGGACAAAAGGGAACACGCGTTCGAAGAAATGTAGGTACAAATGTTGCAAGAAACAGAGGGAAGTACAATTATTGGTAAGTTCCTCGTTTGTGTATGCATTATTTTCTCCGATCTCAGTGTCCTCGTGGTCTGGGGCGTGGACTTTTGCCGCTCGGATATCATGGGTTGGAATCCCGCTCAAGGCATGTATGTATGTCCTTGTCTTTCTATGTTGTACTGTCCTGTGTAGGTAGATCTTGCGGGCTGATCACCAATCTAAAGAGTCGAGTCCTGACAAATATCTACACAGATTCATAATTTAAGAAGTAATTCTGAGTTGGAACACACCACAACCGCTAATTCGTAAGAACCGATGATAATGTTAAAAAGGAGAGCATGAAATAAAAATGTTTATACAATTAGGTTTCTAACCCGAGACACTTCAAACTCAAAGCTAATATAATAATCAATAGAACGTCAGGGCGATCCGAGCGTATTTGTTGCTTCTCTTAAGGTCTGTGACAATGGTCGGTTTATTGCAGAAGTACACGACTGTGTTGAGCATTGTCCACTCTGAGGTAATCCCAGGCT